TCTGCAGAATATACCTGCCAGCCGTGGGAGATCTTTGCCTGCATGATTCTGTTTAAATAAATCTAAAACAAAAAACACAACAGCCAGAGTGTTCATTCTGTTAGCAGCAGAGAGCTGTTTTCCCGTCATGATGTCATTACCTTATGTTACCTCACCTTACATGCTGTGCAAACATGTATTTCGCTGTTATTATGCAGTGTTTCCCCAGGGATTGTTCCGTAACGGCCACAAGACGTTGTTTGTATAATCCTGTATATATTGATCTAAAATACAAACCATAACAGCTCAAACATTCATTCTTTTTGCAGCAGAGAGCGAAGGCTTCTGTCGACCATGTCACCGCGTTATAGACTTGTAATGAAGACAGTGTGCTGAGTTGTGTGTGTGGTACAAAACCATACTACAATGCGCAGTGGTGCCAAATGAACCTGACCCTGGATGAGAGGCAGGGTTCAGCCTGGACAGATCACCAGACTGTCACATGGCTGACACATAGAGACAGACAACCATTCACTGTGATGGCCAAATGAAGCCTCATGAGGCATTTTCTTTATTCTATGAGCCCACTGAATTGCCATTCTTTGAGCCTCTCTCTTTCAATCATGAGCGCCATCTAGTGGGCTCAGAAAATAAGGAAAATGCTTCTTGAGGCTTCATTTGGCCATCACTACCATTCACACTCACATTCACACCTACGATTACAATTAAGAGTCACCAATTAAAGGGGCAATAAGCGAAATTCATCATTTCTAGATTGAAGGAATTAAAAAATTGCTATGTGAAGAACTAGAGGTGTAATTTCATCTGGAGTATAGCATGATCTCACACACCCTCTCTCTGTGTTGATCTCCAGCCCATTGTTTACAAGGCTGCGCGTTCATGTACGTTCACGTGAATCGCCGCCTCCTCCCCCCTCGGAGCCCTTGGCCCTCCCTCCCTATAAAAGGCTACAGCCAGTGAGCAATGGCAGATAGCATGATGGTCCCTGTAATAAATGGAATGTATTTGCTGAGATGGAGGCGAGGCTCAGTGACTAGAAGAGCTGGTAGAAGCGCTCCATAGCTGTAGGTTACTCCAGTAGCCGGTGGCAGCCGACTAGTGCTAACTCCAGGAGCTAACGCTAACTCTTCTCCGTGAGGCACGCAGAAGAGTAGGGACGTTAGCGTGGCAGCCGACTAGTGCTAACTGCTAACGCTCCCAGGAGCTAACGCTAATGTTCCTACTCTTCTCCGTGAGCCGGCTCACGGGCCTGGCGGGCTCAGTCGAAGAGTAGGAACGTTAGCGTTAGCTCCCGTGAGCATTAGCAGTTAGCACTAGTTGGCTGCCACCGGCTACTGGAGTAACGTTAACTTACAGCTATGGAGCACTTCTACCAGCTCTTCTAGTCACTGAGCCTCGCCTCCATCTCAGCTAATATATTACATTTATTACAGGTACCATCATCATTGAAGTATGCAGGGGAATAGCTAAACACAGCAGAGACCGAGAGTGAGTGAAAGACATCGCTAACTGCTAAACTAAGTTGGCTGTTTAGGTTTTATTTCCTCGCCCCTGTAGCGAGTGAATCTGCCTGTAGTGAAACCAGGGCTAACTGGTGCTTCCTCCTCAGGCTCCACTTCACTCAGCTGCCCCACAGCCAGTTAGCCTGCGCTAGTCTCTGAGCTAGCCCCGGCTCTCCGTTTGGATCCAACCGGAGCACCGAGCCCTGGTTTGTTATTCAGGTTAAAGTGGGAAGAAGCAGCGGGTTTATCGGGCAGCTGAGTGAAGTGGAGCCTGAGGAGGAAACACCGGGACCGTCTGGATGTAATAGTCCGTGGAAGTGCTGCGGTGCTCGGCTGCACAGATAGGTAACGAGCCCACTAGATGGCGCTTTTTGTTCAACAAATGGTTGAAAGCACGCTGAATTGCCATTCTTTGAGCCTCTGTCTTTCAACCATGAGCGCCATCTAGTGTGCTCAGAAAATAAAGAATGAGGCTTCATTTGGCCATCGCTACCTGGGGAAAACCCACGTTGACAAACTCCAAACCAAAAGGCTCCCACATCCTGGGTTTGAACCAGCAACCCTCTTGCTGTGAGGTGACTATGCTAACCACTGCTCCACCGTGCTCATGCTGGTCATAACAATGAACATATCTCAAAAATTAAATAATGTATGTAGTTACTGACATACATAACTTGTGTTAAGAAACATTTTCTTAATGTTTCTACATTTATAACTCTTTTGGATCTTTTCTTTTTTGTTTTTATTTTGTAAAATCTGATGAAAAATTGTCTTATTTTTGCATTTATATTTTTTAAATGACACAATACTTTATATGGTTTATTTACCTACATAATCTTTTACCTTAGGTTGTATAGATTTGATTTTAAGGGATATAAAGCACTGACATGAAGATACTTCACGAGATGACATCACAATAAGCATAAATACCAGTGTAGGCCCTGGCCAGTGGCATGAGGGAGTTATTGCCCTTGTGCACAATCGTGCATGCATTGTCTTGACACAAATAGAGACTTGACATTGAACAACATCAACGTACATATTAACCAGCAGCCATCACTGCATATCTGACAGAAAAATAAAGACATCAATCAGTCATTTAACTGAATAGTTTTTATAGTGATTTTATAGATTTTATAGCTTATATAGAAAAATCACATCATTTTGTTGTTTAAAAAAACAAGATGAATTTGCCTTTTTGAAGACAGATATAACAAATGGCACCTTTTTTTTATCTTTTGTCTTTGAACACAGGTATAGTTCCAATGTGGCAAACTGAAACACTTGCAAGAGCCCGCTCTCTCTACAGCCCCTCCACCCCAGGGGCCCCAGTGAAACTGCACTGCCTGCACTGTCTATATTTACGCCCCTGGTAGTGATGGCCAAATGAAGCCTCATGAAGCATTTTCTTTATTTTCTGAGCCCACTAGATGGCGCTCATGGTTTAAAGAGAGAGGCTCAAAGAATGGCAATTCAGTGTGCTTTCAACCTTTTGTTGAACAAAAAGTGCCATCTAGTGGGCTCAGAAAATAAAGAAAATGCTTCATGAGGCTTCATTTGTCCATCACTAGCCCCTGGCCCTGGCGGAGCATTTCTCTTGCAGAGTTTTAAGGCTTAAGTATGCTAATTGGGTAAATCCATTTCCACTGACCAGGATACAGACTGTAACAAAAGGACTTGTCATGATCTGTCCTCCTGCCAGGAGCCATTTTGTAAAGACAGATGCTTTTTGTATGTTTGAGTGATATGCAATAAAATGAAATAAATATGTATTTCATATTTGTCATTTTTTAATAAATTCTTAATAATTTTCATGACATTATCTGAAATTAGGTGGGTAGTAATTAAGATGAAAATAGGGACTGTGTTTAATTAGCACACATCCAATTAATTAATTCCAATTAATTGCTTGTGCAACCAAGAGTGTGTTATAGTGACACAGCAGGTCAGCAACATGCACATACAAGGATGTGAAATTTGTCCACAGGAAAGGAAACTGTTCAAGTGTCCAGTAATAAATGAATCATGAATGAAGAGTTCAAATGGAGCTTTTCCTTTAGGGAAATCTCCCAATAATCAGCACCAAGTGACAGAGCTCTTTTCAAGCAGATGTCCTGCAGAAGTATCAGCAATTTATGGAGGCGTAAAATAAAATGTTGCCAAAATGTCTGTAGGGTCGTTATGTATGCATACATATATGTTCTGAACACACTAAATACGCTGAACATATTTTGGCAGGGACAAATCCAATACAGTTTTTTTAATCAAGATACAAAAACAGAGAAAGGCAGTTACTTTATATAAATCAGCTACGAGCAGAAAATAAGAAGAAGAAAAAAAAAGCTGTGGAACCACAGATGGCTGGAAGATGCAGACAATATAAAACAAGCTGACTACAGTGTGTAGCAGATCTTTTGACAGCAGCCATGTGGAACTGCTCACACTGCAGACAGCTGATCACATTCCTGACCTGCCAGATAACCAGCCAATTGTTCAGAGTCAGGTCGTCGATCATTCAGGCAGTTAATCAGGTGACGTAACCTCCCTCCAGTGTTAACTTCGTCATCAAAAGTTATACTGAAATATATTTGTTGATGGCTGTTTGTCCATGACAGGCACAGGAATAAGGCCTGATCACACAGAGAGTGTTTCAGCAGCTGGAGGCGGCTTTTTGTAATTGTTTTTAATGAGAATGAAGCTTTTTGCTCACTGGTTTTGTGTCGCTACCAGCCTGACGTTACTGCACTCTAGGCGCCTGCCGTTTTTGCCGGAGCGCTCTACAGTCCTCAAGTTGAAAAACTTCAACTCAGAGCGAAAAAGTGCCCCGCGTCATGTCCACTTTTGTCCCATTGTCCATTCGGATGTTTTGAGAGGCGGGGCTTCTGTGGTGGTCCCGACAACAAGTTTACAGTTGGTAAACAATGGAGGAGAAACTGGTGGTAGTGGTTGCTGGATACCCAGAGCTATACGACTTTACAAAGCACAGTTAGCACCATGTCAATATCAAACAGCAGATAAGTGCAGTACTGTAAACGTCCATGATGGAGGAGAAGCTCCTGGACCAACTGGTGGTACTCCCCATGATCCAGCCTCGTTTTTAGGGTCTCATGTACCCACACAGATCTCTGTTTATCTGTGACTAACAAACTATTTACTGACTGATTACACAAGAAGGTTAGGGTAAGGAGGTGATGGCGTGGTTGCCTGGCAACAACAAAAGGCGATGCACGTAATTCTTTTTTTTTTTTTTTTTTGTTTACTAGTGGCATTTAATGTTTCTTTTTAAAAAGAGGCAGTGTGGTGTGCCTCACGTTTTGCAACCTTGAAAACACTTTCTGTGTGATCGGGGTGAAACTGTCTGTATTCAGTTTCAACAAAATAAAATCACTGTAGCTGCTGAAGCTGTTTCCTCCACCAGCTGAAAGTATCTCTGGTTTAGAAGTTGATTTTAATATTTGACCTGTTGCAATGCTTTTAAAAAATATATATTTGTGTATAACCAGGATGGCTGAGTGGTTAAGGCGTTGGACTTAAGATCCAATAGACGTAGTCTTCGTGGGTTCGAACCCCACTCCTGGTAAACACTGGAAGTTTTTTCGGGGGCAGCAGTAGCTCAGTCTGTAGGGACTTTCCTTGGGAATCAGAGGGTTGCTGGTTAAAGTACCCGTACAGACCAAGCATGGAGCGTGTACTGGTAGCTGGAGAGGTGCTGGTCCACCTCCTGGGCACTACAGAAGTGCCCCTTAGCAAGGCACTGAACCTCCAGCTGCTCAGGGCGTCTGTCCATGGGCAGCACTCTCACTCTGGCATCTCTCCATCTAATGTATAGGTCTTGTTTGTGTGTGTGTGTGTGTGTGTGTGTGTGTGAATGATAGCAGGGTGAAAAAATGTACGTTTTATTAAGGCTTAAAGTAACGCAGGATCAAAGGCGGGCTGCTTTGAGTGACAGGCTCTCTGCAGGTAGTGTCGTCGGCTTCTCAGTCAGATCCAGCCTCTTATAGTCACTTCTGCCTCCACAAAAACAAGCGGGCGACAGCTATAATGCCTAATTCAAGGCTTCACAATGGGAGTCCACAAACCACTGTCTGACTTCACAGACGTAAATCCATAATTTTTATAATCTATGGGAACTCTCTCTCAACATGGGAGCTCAGCAGCGTACTGCTGTGGACGGTGGTTTGCAGCAAAATGTATTTTAGACACCTAAAAAAATAAATATCAGTGTAAGTGAATGTCATATGGAGAATATTTCCTCCACTTTACCCTGGGCTCAGCACCCAAATATATCTCCGATATGCTCGTGACATATGAACCTTCTAGGACCTTGAGGACATGACCTGAGGCCTTATCTTTACCCTCGCCTCCCATATTCCTGCACGTATGCTGGTCAGCTGTTTGGGTCAGACTTTCAGAGGTTTATGGAGGTTTATAAGAAAATAAAAAAAGAGTGATAATGACAACAGCAAAGAAATGTTCACTATAGAAACAAGAGTTTTAGGAACCAGAGTGTGCAGAAGAACTTTTTTCAGTCTTCTGGAGGCGGCTGAGACACACGTTACACCCCTGTCCACCACAGGACTTTATTTAGATTCCATGGTGTTAAAGCCTTAGCACACCGAGTCTTTTTTTTTTTTTTTTTGGATGCTTTTTTTAAATCCGTCATCTGAAAAAAATTGTTGCACACTGATTCCGATGCATTATATTGATCTATTCGCTGTGAAAATTCGCAATATGCGACAAAATTAAAAGACACATTTCCTCCTTTGCGTCTCTCCACTGGAGTCACCTATCTGACTGTCACCACTCCCTCCCTGCGTGAAGGGGCTGAGCTATCCTCTCTCTCTCTGTCCTCCACGTTTTGTGTGTGGTCCAGCTCCTCCTCCTCTTCATCATCATCCCCATCATTGAAAGTGAGCTATCTGAGTTATGACATGATGCTGTGTGTCCCTTTTCTCTGTCCTGTCGCAGATGTTTTTTGTTTTTTTTAAAGATATTGTTTTGGGCCATTTTGCCTTTAATGGACAGGACAGTTAAGCATGAAGGGAGAAAGAGGGAGTGACATGCAGCAAAGGGCCACAGGCTGGAGTCGAACCAGGGCCGCTGCGGCAACAGCCTTGTACATGGGGCGCCTGCTCTACCACTAAGCCACCGACACCCCTCTGTCACAGATGTGTGTGTCCCACCGCCACATTTTATTCACTGATTCTTGGTCAAACGTCTCTAAAGGTTCTGACGGATGAGAGAAACGCAGACAATCTAATCTGTTCTGAAAAGTTTAATGACGGACAAAAGTTTCAGACTCAGTGTGCAGATGTGACTGACACAACATGAGGTTGTGTTTATTTTTAGACATGCGACAATTTTGGACGAATAAACGGACTGGCTTCTGTGGTGCTACTCCAGCCTGCTGCAGCAAACTGGGAGCGTGCCGACTGAAATCTACTGTATAACTGCACGTAAAATGACAATCTGACAGAAATGTAAAAGTCGGCCTTTATCCATACAGTGTCTGCTCGACTCGTAACATTCATTTCGATGGTGCAAGCTAATGAGGTAACTCTGGCACATCTGAATACTGAAGGAGTATCAAGTTTAAAAAGGATTTGCAGGTACATGAAAATAAACACATATCAGGAATGCCGGAGCTGCGCGTGAGATAAGACCGCTGTGTCAGCAAAGAGATCTATTTGACTGACTGGAGTGGCGTCCTCCTCTTCCTCTGTGGTGGACTGAGCCACGTGTTGAAGATGACAGTAAGATCTCTACGTGTGTGAGCTGTGCTAAATGTGAAAGCGGCCTCTGCAAAGTCTCACACTGCTTATATTAAATATCAAACAGCCAGCTCCCCCACATCCTGGATGATTGAAGCAGCATATGCATCGCCCTGCGCGCCTGATAAGCAACAAGAAAAAGAAGCATCGAATGCAGCCGTACATCAGAATGCACACTCATGTACACACACACACACACACACACACACACACACACACACACACACACACACACACACACAACAAACAAATATCCAAGCAACGTTACCCTCAGATACACACACACAGAGGCAGGCAGGTCTTGCAGCACATCACAGGGTCAGCGGCACACATCGGCATGGATTATCACACTGTCACACTCCAACGGATAACAAGCTGCAGACAGACGTCCACTGGGGGAGCGGTTGGGGGGGGGGAGGAGGGAGGCAGCTAAAGAGAAGACTGGGGGAGAAACAGGAGAGGAAGGAGACACAAACAACACACACTGCTCTACGCTCCCAGTGTGTGTTGTGTACTTTGTAGGCAATATTCTCTGTGCTTTTCCTACGAGCGTGTGTGTCGGCACATTAGCATGCAGCATCACGCCTCGTACCTTTAATGCATCTTTCATCATGCTTGTGTATTAGCTCATTGTGAGTGTGAATGGAAGTGAATATAAAGCTTATGGTGTGTGCTGCTGATCCTGCTCAGGCTCTGCTGGATGAATATTACATGGAACATAGCTTCAGTTTTTAACAGCTAACACCATGGGATGCATGTAATATTCAGCACGGCCTGTCAAAGGGGATAAAACACACTCTGCCAACCTGTATGTAGCATCTCTATTGATACTCACACACGTAAACACACACGTGTTGTGGGATTGTGTGCGCACACACTAAGCGTACAACACACCCACCCACAGCCTCTTTTATCAGCTAAATAACCGTGTTGCCAGATGTGGAGCTGTCTCTAATACGAACCAGAGGGGCTACAGCAGCACCTGACATGAATACTGCTGTAGTACAGTACGCAGGCAGGATTACACACATGTATCAGCCTGCGAAGTTTAAGACACAACACTGGCTGCCTGTGGAGAACTCTTAATGCAACAGAGCAACAAGAGACAACTGAGGCTTTACCTGAGACAGGCTGTGAGTAGAGACGGGCCTGTACCTCTAATCCCTTCTGTTTCATAATGCTATTTTACTGTGTTTTAGTAGGAAGACATTTTTTGTTGCTCTGCCTCCGTTTGCCCTGTGAAGGCAAATGAAACATTTCCTGTATCTGTTTTAGATTAAAGGGAAACAGCTCTGGCAGCATTCAGATGTTTATGAATGGAGAGAGTGCTGCTGTGGCACAGGAAGTGTTGCATGTTGGGTTGTGTATTTAATTTATTTAATGTATATTTGTATAGGGACAAGTTTGTAGCGTACATAAATGCCACACACCACAGTATGTATAGCCTAAGCTAATTTGCCCGTCCCTAGTGATGGCCAGATGAAGCCTCATGAAACATTTCTTTATTTTCTCGAGTTGAAAAAACCTCAACTCAGAGCAGAGAAGCTCCCCACGTCATCATTAATCTGATGTTCTCAGAGGCAGGCCTTTAGTGATGGCCAAATGAAGCCTCATGAAGCATTTTCTTTATTTTCTGAGCCCACTAGATGGCGCTTTTTGTCCAACCAAAGGTTGAAAGCACACTGAATTGCCATTCTTTGAGCCTTTCTCTTTAAACCATGAGCGCCATCTAGTGGGCTCAGAAAATGAAGAAAGTGCTTCATGGGGTTTCATTTGGCCATCACTACCCATTCACTGGCTGGGTCTTTCTCTTTTTTTTTAAAGATTTTTTTATAGAAAGGACAGTTAAGCGTGGAGGGGGGAGAGAGAGAGGGGAAATGACATGCAGCAAAGGGCCACAGGCTGGAGTCAAACTCGGGCCACTGCGTACATGTACAGTGGGCGTCTGCTCTATCCACTAAGCCACCAACGCCCCAGCTGGGCCTTAAGATACAAAAGACTCAGCAACAAGAACACAGTAACAGTGCAAAGGACAAACAAGAATAAAAACACAGACAGAATACAAGACACAAACTGCAACACATAATCAGCACCACAGAATAGGAAGCAGCAAATTATTCATGACTGCAGAACCGATCCCTCTTCAAGAACTGTTTCAGTTTGAGTTTAAAGTGATCGAAATCAGGATCCAGTTTGAGTTCTGTAGGTGAAGAACTCCACATGTTAATTCCATAGACAGAAGAAGCTGTTTGTCCAAATGAGGGTTTACACAGGGGGGCCTGACAGTTCCCATTGGTTGCTCCACGAGGTCACTGAACACCTGGGGAAACAATTATCTGATTATTAGCATTTATGGATGAGTTTGAAATTATCAAAACTTGACACGTTTATTTTCTGAAGAACATAATGATGTGCTCTTATTGGTTTCCTGTCAAAAATTTGTATTGCTCAATTGTATATCATCATCATCATCATCATCATCAGAGGCTTAGTTATTGTAGATGCTGCTTGTGACCAAGAGGTTGTTTGTAGTGATGGCCAAATGAAGCCTCATGAAGCTTTTCTTTATTCTATGAGCCCACTAGATGGCGCTTTTTGTTCAACAAAAGGTTGAAAGCACACTGAATTGCCATTCTTTGAGCCTCTCTCTTTAAACCATGAGTGCCATCTAGTGGGCTCAGAAAATAAAGAAAATGCTTCATGAGGCTTCATTTGGCCATCACTAGTTGTTTGTAGCATTAAAGGGACAGTTCACGCTCACATCAAGAATACATATTGTTTCGTCTTACCTGTAGTGTGTTTATCAGTC